TGTCTTGTTTTTCCTTTCCCATGATTGTTTCTTGGTGGACTTAGCATATATGCTTTTGTAACCATGGCATTACATCCCACTGTGTGGGTGCCCCATGAATCAGTTAGTCCCCTTTCCTCTAAGTCTCTAGATGAGAGCAGGAGCTGATGGAGAAGCAGGTGAGCAGTAGTGGGAGGAGACTTCCATACCTGGAGTTAGGCACCATGGGACTCAGGCCACTCTACGATCCTCGGGAGGCATGGGTGTAAATTCTGGAACTGACACCTACTATTGGTTGGCTGTGTGACTGACCTTCACCAATTTCGTTATTGAACCTTGGAGACTTGATTTCTTTTCCTGTAAGTTGAGAGTACTGCCATCTCATGGCATTAAAGGATGAATATAGATCGCTTACATATCTCATGTATATGGAACAATACCTCACGGATATGCAATAGTACTGCATGTGTATCTAATAATGTCTCATAAATATGCGGTAACACCTCATGGGCATGCAGTCATGCCTCATGTATATGTAATACTAGCTCATGAGTATGTAATAGTGTCTCATGTATATGGAACAGAACCTCGTGTATGGAACAGTACCTCATGTGTATGGAATAGCACTTCATGGGTGTAAGATGCTTAGAATGGCATTCAGCACATGGCAAGGTCCCCACAAGTGGTAGTTGTTATTTTTCAGCTTCTGAAAAATATCCAAGGTTTGACCTCTAGTTAGACAAAAATACCAGGGTGATTGAGTTGTTTTCTTCAGGATGTGAAATTACCTGCCTTGAGGGCTAGATTCGTTACTTGTGTGGGTTACCCTTCTGAGAAGGTCCCCCACCTTTCCTCAAACTAGACACATTTCTTGGCGCCTTTGGCCTGGTGCTGAGTCAGGGATCCTTGCCCAGCCCAGCCTTCCTGACAGTTTTCCAAATCTGGGGATGGAATCTGTTTTTCTAAAGCCCCTCATGGGGCTGGGGGAGGGAATGCTGACTCTGTGTTTTACTCACAGTGGCAGATGTGGAACATCTGGAGGCAGCTGGGCCCCAGCAGGGTGGGGACAACAAGGGCTATCGGTAGGTTTTGCAAAGTGGGGTGCTGTTGTTTCACTCTCCCTCAGTAATGAGGTGTCATGCTGCTCCAGTAAGAGAGAAAGAAGTGTACCAGCTTGGAGTTCAGGAAGAGCCATTACATGACCCCCTCTTGATAGATAAAAAAAACAAGACACACACACACACACACACACACACACACACACACACACACACACACACAGAGGCTCAAAAAGATTAAATGACTTGTTGGAGGACATGTTGCAAGTTAGGGCAGACAGTCTCCTAGCACTGAGTTTAACCACACTGACAGAAAGAGGTCAAAAAGGGGAAGTAAAAAAATAAATAAATCAATAAAGACGACCCCAAAGCATACTTGCTTGAGGGAAGGGCCCTGTGTGCCCTGAACATCAAAAGTCGGTGACCGTCTGCAGTGAGGAATGACAGCAGTGCCCAGGGATGGCGGGTCATGCACATTGGTCAGTGTGGTGAAGGGTCTTGGGCAAAGTTGATGCTTGGGTCTGGCAGTCTTCTTCATAGACCCTGGAACGAAGTGCTGGCATCCAGAGGTGCATTAATCTGGGCTGATGAGAAATTTCCTGGTGGGTATTTCTAACCCACAAGGCATCCAGAGAGCACTGAGATTAAGGGTGCCCTTGACCTCATGTGTTCAGTCTGCCCTGGGCTCCCTTTCTGTGCGGGAGCTGAGGCAGGGTAAGGGAGCTTATTGCAGAGTCGGGAGACCTTCAGTCATTAGACTGGCAGAAAAGGTGGTGTCAGGTTTGGCACTGGGGCTTGCCACTCCCTGTGTCTGTGAGTGAGTGCTCCCTGGACATTTCTGAGAGGTCTCTGCCCAAGGAAAAGGGGCAGGTGAGGTTAGGTCAACAGAACACTAACTGCAAGGTGGTGTGGCCTCTTTTTGCTGCTCCTGCTACCTGCATGCAACCTGTCAGAGTCTTTTGAGCATGGGGGGTGTAAGATAATTCATTGGTGTAAAAGCTCCAGGAGTTTGAAGTTCATAGAGGAATCAGACCAAGCAGACACGTGCCTGAATGCTGTGGGAGGCTGGGATTACTGAAGATCTCGTAGCTGCTTCAGAGGACGTCTCTGCTTCGTTTTATCTCCTAAGAACAAAAGCTTTGTGCAGAGGGATGCGCTATTGGGGCTATTTCCACAGCCAGGGCCCTCACCCCTTTTTTGTTGCCTGTCCTGCTGCTTCGCCCACAGTGGGTGGCTGGGGACCTCACTGGGAACATGAAGCTTGCTGTGCTCTTCCTTTCGTTCTGTTTTCCCACACCTTTGACATAAGACTTGACTAACAAAGTAGTCTGGATGGGCAGTAGCAACAGAACCCTGTGGGGAAGTCCCGTCAGAGCCTGACCTGGCAGGATTTATCCGTGGCTCCCTGTCTCACCTGCCCCCTCCCCCGTCCAGGTGTAGGCACTCTTCGCCAAGCCATCTTTAAAGGTAAATGGAGTTAAATTAGTTGGTTGCTGTATTTACCTATTAAACCAAAGTAAGCCCAGGTGGCTAGTCATCTCTGCAAAAAGTTAAGGGGTAAGGACCTCAGGGACGACTATACCTCCCCCTGACAGCAATGCTCCCTTGAGAAAACTGGATTGCACTCATCTCCCTCTTCACTGAAAATACAGTTTTCTAGGATCAAAATGACTAACACACTTGTGGGAGTTGTAAATTAAATTGCATCAGGGGGCTGCCTTACTGTTTAAATACACTCCTTGGCGAATCCTTCTGTGAAGGAATTGGAAGGACGCCTTTGACAAAGAGAATTCCCATCCCTGGCCTTGGGCTGCCAGGACGGGGTGTTTTGGTTTGTTTTTGTAGGTCAGGTTTGTGGCTAGGAAGGGCTGCTGAAAAGATTCGTGTGTATTTTAAAGTCACCACATTTTGCCAAAACCAGTTTGGCTCAATGGATAGAGCATCAGCTTGGAAACTGAAGGGTCCCGGGTTCGATTCTGGTCAAGGGCATATGTACCTGGGTTGCAGACATATCCCCAGTAGGGGGTGTGCAAGAGGCAGCTGATCGATGACTCTCTCTCATCGATGTTTCTAACATTCCATCTCTCTCTTTTCCTCTCTGTACAAAATCAATAAAATATATTAAAAAATAAATAAAGTCACATTTATTTTCCAGTTTACAAAAATAGTAGAATATTCTAGATATAGTGAAAAGTATGAGGCAGAAATGAAAATCACCTATGACTGCACAATTGAATGATGATTGCCATATTTCTGTACGTGTGTGTGTGTGTGTGTGTGTGTGTGTGTGTGTGTGTGTAAACAGAACTAGGTCTTCGTGTGAGCATTTGGGTAGCTGGTCTCGACCCCTAGGCTGTGGCAGGGCAAGAGGGGGTGGCTTTTCCACACCCAGAAGGAAGTCAGTGTCAGACGTTCTGAGACCTTAAGCACCAGTTGAAAAGGGAAGGCAGACGGGGGGCTGGGAGGCAGGGGCCAAGCAGACTGACCTGTGTCATCCCTGTCTGTGCATTCCTGAGGATACACTCCGGGTCCACAACACTCCAGTTTGCTCGGAGGCTGCTTCCCCTAAGAGCCCCCTAGACGTGCATGGCCGCTCTTGCCTCTCACACTCAGCTTTACTGTCCTTTCTGGATTGATAAGACACCCTTGCATTGGATAGCCTTTGGCTTACCACATGATCTGCACTGCAGGACATATTAGTTTCAAAGAGGCTCGGGAAGGGTGATGCCTTCCCCCCAGGAGCGATACTGTTACGGTGGGATGAGTGTGGGGGGCGGCGGAGAAGAGGGGGCGCGGTTATTAGAGGACAAGAGCCTTCCCAGTGCTTTTTAAGCTGTGCCATGCAGGAGACTTCCAGGAGCCTGGAAGGCTCAGAGCCTGCCTCCCCTGCTCTCAGAGAAGCCACAGCGGCTGCTCTTTTCCAAGGAGAGCTTGGGGCCTGGCTGGAGAGAGAGGGGCTGTCCCTCCCTCCGAGCAGCGTGTGCACAGTGATGCACCGGCTTCTCCCCTGCTCTCTGGGGTAGAACCCGGCTCCACCACTTCAGTGCTGTGCAAACGGGAGCAGGTCTCTTACACTCTCTATGCCTCCGTTTGCACCACCTGCAAAATGCACTACCTAGGCTCCTTGTGCAGATTCAGTGGGTTACCACGTGTGACGCACTTAACATGCTCTGCTACAGAGTAAGTCTTCGATAAGCACTAGCTATTGCCATCAGTGCTTCACTCAGCTCAGCTGCTCTAACCAAGGACCACGGGCTGGGTGGCTGAAACAACAGCCATTTCTCTCGCCCAGTTCTGAAGGCTAGAAGTCCGGGAACAAGATGCCAGCGTGATTGGGTTCCTGGCTTGTAGGCGGCTACCATAGAAACTGTCTGCTTTCGTAGTGTTACACTCCCCTCTCCTCTGACCCTGGGAGAAGGCTCTTGGTGTCCCAGTCTAGGTAAGAGGCAAAAAAAATTGGATTTATTAGGCTGCTACTTCTCTGAGCAGGTGGCTGGGTGCAGAGGGAAGTCACAGCACTGACTCCACAGGGCTCCATGGGGTGGGCACTGTCACTCCAAGTACAGAGGGCCATGTTCCCTGGGCAAGGGGACACCAGCTGTCCACGGTCACACTGCTCGGAAGTTGCAATAAGATTTGAATCCTGACCCCACACCTTACCATACCGACCTGCTATGGGAGGAGTGGAGCAGCCATGCCTGGAGCCGACTGGGGGTTGGGACGGTTACTCGGGGTGCAGCTGGTGTCGGAAACTGCACAGTCCAGGCCTTCCCAGCCCGGGTGGCCTCCCTGGAGCTGAGCACTGAGGCTCCTCAGACCCCCGAATCCCTCCACCAGTGAAGGCGGCCCTCCACGTCCCCTCCCACGTCCAGGTACCCGAGGATGGAGCCGCTCTCCCTCAGGAGGTTACTTGCTAGGTGTGCTAACCCAGACTGTTCTCTTTCTGCTCTTTTCCTTCTCCAGCCCCTAAAGACAATGAAGAGCGCGTGTTCAGGGAGCGCATGCGGCCCAGGAAGCGGCAGGGGGCCGTCAGGCGCAGGGTCCACCAGGTCAATGGCCACAAGTTCATGGCCACCTACCTTCGGCAGCCCACCTACTGCTCCCACTGCAGGGATTTTATCTGGTAAGGCCCCCTCTCCTGGGATCTTCTAGTCATGCCTTCTCTGGGCCGAGACGTTGGGAGATTACAAACTGTAAAAAGTTCTGATGTGCTTTATTTCTCCTTTGTTTAATGGCAGAAGACTTATCTAAAAAGTCTATGTGATTTGGTGCTTGGGAGGACGAATGGAAAGCAACTATGGTTCCTGGTGAACTTTGTACTTAGGATCATATCATGTGTCCCATTTAAGGAGTGAAGATTTTATAACCAGCAATGTACTGTGATTGTGGTTTCTTTAAAAAGAATCTTTATCCTTAGAGAGACAAACAGAATTATTTACAAGTAAAAATGACATGCATCTTGGATTTGTTTTAAAAACTACTGTGGGAGGAGGGGGGAAAAGGGCTAAGGGTAGAGAAGAAACAGGAGCAGCCATGCATTGGTCATTGTTGGAGCTGGGTGATGAGCCCATAAGGGCCCATCTCGCTACTTTCGTATATGTTTGAATTTTTCCACAATAAAGTTAAAAAAATACTCAACTGCCAGTATTGCTGATACAAAGCAGTTCTTGGTAGCTGTTGTAACACTGGTGCTGCTAGGATCCTGAGGTTTCAGAGTGAGGGAGTAGCGTTGGCTGAAGTACTCAGGGAAGGCTTCCTGGAGGAGGTGGCACATCTCCTTTCATGATGACTAGGAGTTTGATAAGCAGAGATAGGTAAGTAGTAGGCCTGTTTAGGAGGTGGGAAGGAGCACTGGCCTTGGGGATTGGAGGGAGACTGTGAATACCTACCCCATGCCAGATTCTCTATAGGGCACTGGAAATATTTAATTAAATCTTCCCGGTATCCTCTGAGCTATGTATTGTGAACCCCATTCCACTAACAACAATATTGGGGCTCAGAAATTAAAGCAAGACTAGCCTGCACTCCTCCAGCGGGGAGGTTTCAGAGGCCGGATCCCACCCCTGGTGAGCACAAATGAAAGCTTATGCTTTTTCTGAAGTCCCACCAGCCTTTCTGGCAACCTCTCTGAGCGCTTTGAAGCTGGCTAGAGTTTGCCAGCACACTTGGATCCCATGGGGAAGAGTGGATGAGGCCAAATTGCAGCATGAATCCAGCCGGAAAGCATTTGACTTGCCCTCGAAGGATGGGGTGTCCAGGAGTGGCTCGTCTCATCCTCGTGGTGTTCCAGACCTGTCCCTGAGGTTGGCATGGAGAGCTGAGGTGACACAATTCCGAGCAGACTCAACCCAGCGGAGGCAGACATAGCGCCCCGCTCCCACCCACAGACGGCCTCCTCCCCAGTTTTCTGTATTGTGTTTATGAATTGCATGTTTGGAGGGACAGAGGCTCTGAAAGCTGAGTCGTACAGATTCAGGTCTCCTCTGAACCCATGGCCAACACACTGAGCTCCAGGTGTCCTGAGTTGTAGCCTGATTGCCTTCTGGCTCCTCCCACCAGGCCTGGAGTTACAGTGGGTGTGGGTGCCCTGAGGTCAGGGCTTAGGCCAAGTTGATTGGTTTGTGTCCATGCTGACCCTAAACTGGCCCCAGGAGAGACTCTTCTGGCCCTGAAAGGAACTTGTGATGTTGGCCTTCACCCAAATGGCACACTGACCTCCCAGTCCTGGCCACAGACTAACCTGTAATCGCTGCTGGCTTCTGGAAGGCCAGGGAGGTGTGTCCAGGATTGCCCACAGGAAAGGGTGTGTGACTCATCGAGGCCCGCAGAGAGCATCGGGTCTTGTGGCTTCCTGAGCACTGCTGGTCCCATTGGGACGGCTGTCTGTGTAGGAAACCAAGCCCGTTCACTGACCAAACCTTGCACCCCTCGCAAGTGCTGAGGCTGCCCGCTGTGGGCTGTGAGGGAATCATTTTAGGGCAGCCTGCAAGTGGGAGGGAAATGGCACTGCCAGGTACACCAAGCGTGCATGGTGCTTTGTGGGTGGTGACCAGCAGGCAGTAGCTTGGTGTGGTTTTTGACCTACTAAAGGGTGATGTTACTTACAGTATTGTATTCTTCTTTTCAGGGGTGTCATAGGAAAGCAGGGATACCAATGTCAAGGTAAGAGGTGCTGTGTGAACTAAATCCCAGGGGGCCTACTGGCTCATCCCGGTCACTAATGCCGCTAATGCTCATGGGAAGTGTGTGCTGGGTTTGATGGCATTGAGAAGCTCTCCACGGTTTCCATTCCTGCTCCCCCTGGAAGAAGCAGGACCCTGTTTTCTTTTGTCACTGCCTGGCCATGATTCCTCCACGCACATGTGGGAGTACCGTATTTTCCGGCGTATAAGACGACCCCCTAATTTTACAGTTAAAACATAGGTTTAGGCCTATATTCGCTTTATAAGACCTCCCCCGCCCCCTTTCCTAGGCAACACCAGTTCTTTTTTTAATAGACCGCCTCTCTGACTCTGGCCAATCTGAGCAGGCTTTTTACTAGAACGCAGCGTAGCGTCGGGTACAGAACATGTATTGAAAGCACACTCAAAGTTATTGAAGCTTCTGTTTGCAGATCTTTGACTACACATGCAAGGTTAAGTGGCCCAGAATTGAAGGGTGGGCACGTGATGTGGCCATGTGGAGGGTTCTCTGTGGTTTGGTGTGGGAGGCCATTCCATCTCCCCACTGGGTGGCTTGGGTTCCCCGGCTGGGGACTTGGGTAGGTCCTTTTGGGCATTGTGTGTGCACACACAGTTACTGGCCTCTTCAGCCCCTCACTGCCCACACTGTCCCGTGGCACTGAAGACAGAGCTCCAGACCACTTCTTGTGGAGGTAGTTCGTTCAGCGGAAATGTTTATGCTTGGCATGTAAGGACACAACCAGATCAAAAGCTTAGGCACTTCTGTACCACAAAACATGCATCTTCCGGCTGTGCTCCTCCTGACACACCAGCCAGGCCTGACGCAATCCTGAGATGAGCAAGACGCTGTCCTGTCTCTGATAGACGTACTGCGTGGAAGGGAAATGGTTCCCTGGCCTGGGCACATAGAAGCAAGAAACTTGACGGGTCCTCCTGGAACTGGAGAAAACTGCTGATGCCCTTTGTATCTACATAAATGGCCCTTTTTTCTCCAGAGCATGTAGGAAACCAGAATGGCTAGGATGGCCGAGAGCTTTGAAACCACTTCGTAAAGGGCTCTGCGTAAAGGGTTCTGGGTAGGGTGTTACGTTAAGACCCAGTGACAGAAGGGGCATGGCTCCCCTCGTCCCTTCTCGAAGCCTGATTGAATCATGGGGTGGAACCTTCCTTCCCCCGCTTGTCGCTCAGCCTCCCCATCTCTTGCTGTTTGCAGTGTGCACTTGCGTGGTTCACAAGCGATGCCATGAGCTCATCATCACGAAATGTGCTGGGTTAAAGAAACAGGAAACGCCCGACGAGGTAAATATTTGCAGCGTTGAAGTCCCGGGCTTTCTTCACTGCCATCCCTGCCCTCTCCTTCCTCCTCCGCGGCCCCTGAGTAAAACCTTATCTCTCAGAGATCCCACTGCTTTCTTCCTTGTGTTGATCAAAAATGTAGGGAGTTGTCCACAGCCTTCCGGCATGAGGCACAATCTACAGAATGAGTGTGGCTCCGAGTCGGATTTACGTCTGTGGAGACTGTGCCAGGAGCTGTGTGATCCCGGAGCTCAAGCCTCCGAGGAAAAATATGTATTCTTTTATCCATTATCTCATGGGAACAGCGAAGCGGCTCACTGACGCGCCAGTGGCCCCGCGCGCTCATAAACAGTGAGGGAGAGTCAACAGAGGAGCAGGCGCTTATCTTTATGAGGTGAAGGGGAATGGAGTGGAATTAGCAAACCCCAGAAACATGTAGGAGGCTGAAATAACCTCAGTAACAACAATAGCCGACATTTCATTGGGAACTTACCGTGCCCTGATGTAAGCACTTTAACACCTATCATTTAGTCCCATCCCAACCTTAATGTAATGGATGTTGTTACCGTTTCCCCGAAAATAAGACAGTGTCTTATATTAATTTTTTTCTCCCAAAGTTGTGCTAGGTCTTATTTTCAGGGGATGTCTTATCTTTCCATGTGCTAGGTCTTATTTTCGGAGGATGTCTTATTTTCGGGGAAACACGGTATCATCGTCATTTACAACAAAGAGAACAAGAGCAAAGAGGTCAAGTTAACTTGCCCCGAGTCACACAGCTAGTATGTGAAGGAGCCACGTTCAGACTCAGGAGTCTGCTCCAGGGCCTGAGCTCTTGACGGCTACACTATGTTGTCTCTTCATCTTACAAAGGAGGGTCAGATGGGCTATTGGGGAAGTTGCTGATGGTAAAGAAGCAAAGAAAATTCAATAGCAAAGCTAGGTTTCTCCGAGCTGACCGTTTGGGAGAAGACTGTGCATGTCAGTATAGGGGTTATCTATATTCACAGTAGTTGATTTCAAAGCCAGGTTTTAATTCCCTGTGAAGTATAATACATACTGCATAACCATAGGTCATTAGAATCGGGGGTCAGAGACAGCTTATAATTAGATGGATTTATGATCTGGTTTCCAAAGGAGTGACTGTCAGAGTCCAACGAGCGGCAGCACATGGGTTGAAGGCATCAGGAGCAAAGACGGGAGGCTCTCTTTACCTCTTCTCAGGGCAGTTTTCAGAGCCAAGCTAGGGCCTGACACCTGCAATGACCATGCCTTCTGGAAAGTTCTGTAGAAGGTCCAGCGATTAGCACTCCAGGCTGCACAAGAGCTTGGCTGTGACCGTGTTTTTACATCTTTGCAGGTGGGCTCCCAACGGTTCAGCGTCAACATGCCCCACAAGTTCAGCATCCACAACTACAAGGTCCCCACCTTCTGCGACCACTGTGGGTCCCTGCTCTGGGGCCTCCTGCGGCAGGGGCTGCAGTGTAAAGGTAAGGCGTTCTGTGCCCGCCCCTGCCCCCCTGCCTCCGCGTGCCCCTGTGGTCTCCTTTTTTTAAAAATCTTTGCTTGTTCTCATAGCCTCAAAAGCAGATTCCAGGTTCTGTGGGAGGACGGAGCACAAGCTCTTGTCAAGCCCTGTTAATTACTCAGCGATTTTGTTAAGCAGTCGCCGTGCCGACACCACACTGGCAAAGGGAACTCCACCTCCATCCGGGTCCAAGGGGAGGAAGGCGTGCCCTCACCTGTTAGGATAGTTAACGAGCTGGAGAACAAGATGAGCCTGGAAAAGCATAGAAATAATTGAAGGAAAAGATACATTAGAGCAGAAGGGAACAAATATTTTTGGAGTTGGGCACTGAAATGAGTAATAGATATTTCTCTGTCACAATCCGTGGTTCAGAGCCTACTCTTGGAAGGAATCGTGCTAGAACGCTATCACATAAGACATCGTATTCATCCTTCAAAGGGTTGTGATGTGAGCGCTATTGTCCCATGTCACCAGTGAGGGAACTGAGGCTCCGAGACTAAGTAACTTATTGTTGTTACACAATTTTTCAGCTCAAGTAGGGTTTGAACTTTGACTCGAACTTTCCTCTATTTCCTGCTGACCTGCCCATGAGTTACCTTCTGCACAGACGGGCATGCTAAGTAAAATGGGTAATAGTACATAATATAGGACCATGAGAACTGTCTGGGGGATCCAAATAGAGTGTCCAGTTCCATAAGCTAGTCCAGTCTACTCACAGAGTTGGACAGCCATGAACTATTAGGCAGGAGTATTGCATGGCTATTATTTGAAAACAATATTGTACTGAATACATTATTAATAAGTACCCAATGTGGAAAAATTAGAAAAAGAGTAAAGTATAAGAAGGAAAACTGAGGCCATGACCAAATTGGTCATTTAAGGGGTCTCAATGGGAAATGGTTAGGATTAGAAATGAGGCAATGTCTTCAGTGAGAATAGAGAGGAGGCGACACGGAGGAGTAATTTATTGGATGTGATGACCAGGCCCAGCTGGAAGGACAGCGACACCATTTGAGAGAGGGCATACAGGAGAGGCTACAGTGCTGGAGGCAAGTATGTAGAGTTGAGCTGGGGACATGCTACCTCGATGTACCTTTAGGAAATTTACATAGAAATGTCCAACTTCTGGGCATTCTCATTTAAACCTGGGGGAAAGTTTAGACCAAGCATTTCAATATCTAAGTAGTAGTTAAAGCGATAGAGTGGATATCGTCCCCAGGAGAAGTGCCTTGTGTGTGAAGAGAGAGACTCGCACCTTGGGGTTCAGAGGAAGAAGGATGAGCCAGCAAAAACAACAGGGCAGGGGGAAGGACCTCAGAGGAAGAAGAAAAGGCATGGGGAAATGGCACTGTGGAAACCAAAAAGGAGAGAGTATTAAACAATTAACAAGGAAGCAATAGGTGGTTCCAGGAGGTTATTTAAGGTAGAAAGGACAACATGGGGTTGGATTTAACAACGAAGAGGTCATAGTGACTTCAGCAGAAGCTGTCTGGGTGGGATGGTGGAGATGGAGCCCAAATGCAGAGGCTGAATAGAGGATGGAGGGTGAAGCACTTTCAGAATGTCTAGTATAATTAGGGAAAAGACGGTGGGACAGGAGAGGTTAATGAGCCAGGAGGGAGAGGGGACCATTGCTACAGCAGGGGCAGAGGAGGGATGGGCCTTGCAGGAAAAATGGAGGCCCCTCTTCCCAGATGGAGGGAATGCCTCAGGGGGCGGCCTGCGTTCAGATAGATTTGCTGTGTCCCGGATAGGAGTCCAGGGGGAGTGATGGGGCAAAGTGCTGCATCCGTTGAGGGTATTGCAATGGAAGTAGATCCTTTTTTTTTTTTTTTTTTTTTTTTTTTTTTTTTTTTTTTAAGTCAATGTGAGAAGTAGGGTCGCAGGTCCAGTTCTCCTCATGTGGAAGGCATGAGGAGGGTGGCAAAGGCTGGAGATGGCTGTGGTGGGAACTGAGGAGAACTGGACCTGCGACAGGAGGAAGAGCCAACTGCTGCCACCTCTGTTGATTTGTGTGAGTTTCCCAGACATTCCTGGCTCCTTTTCTAGGATTCTAGCACCCAGCCCTGAGAGAAATAGAGCCTGCTGGCATCCTCTCTAACGTCCAATGGCATTGTGACAAAGGAAGCGTAAGAAGATAATGGACAGTAATCTTGAATATTTTTAGCAGAAGAGTGCTGAATTTTTGGAGCGTTGAATAGAGTTGCTGGGAAGCACAGAGCCTGCTTTGAATGGGACTCCGATGAGGCCATGTCTGGGTTTTAGTAAATATATTAATTATTGATCTATCTAAGGAATTCAGATGAGAAAATACCATCATCTCATAAATACTGATATTTTAAGAAAGCAACCGAGACACACGGACGTCGTTGCTAATGTGTGGGTCCCTGGATGACCCTAGAAGAGGACATGGCCCAGACACAGTGTATTCAGCTCTGTTGGCAGGAAATACTCTCAAGCAAAGAATGGGAGAATGAGGTTGCCTAGGGCAAGGGTACCTGTTTCCCAGGAGCTCCGGGGACTGTGAGGGAGACCACAGGGAGACTAGAAGGCAAAGGCTGTTCAGTATGTAGGGCCTCCAGCAAAAGTCCACAGATCTTCCTTCTTCTGTTCTGTTATCCTGACTTGGCCATTTCCCTTTGCTCCTTTCTTACTCTTGTGACCCTCTTCTCCCCCTCCTCTCCCCTTTTTGCCTTTCCCCTCTCAGTAGACTTTATTTTTAGACCATTTTTAGCTTTGCAGTGAAAGATACAGATTTTTTCACATACCCTCTGCCTCGACATACACTGGTCTCCCCACCATCAACATCCCCCACCAGACTGGCACATTTATGACAATCACTGAACCTACATTGATACATCACGATCATCCAATGTCCACAGTTTGCATTGGGGATCAATGGATGGGCATTCAGTGTGCTTTGGCAGATATGTGCTGATGTGTATCCACCCCTTTAGAGGCTCATACAGAGGAGTTTCACTGTCTCCACGTCCTGTGTGTTTATTTCTCTCTTTTGATTCTTTGTCAACCTCAAGTCTTTTTGCCCCTGCAATGCCTTACCTATGGAGAGGCTTATGACCAGAAGAGGCCAGCATGGGCCAGAGCAGGGGCCGCTCTTGCCTGGGTCTAAGAAAAATAAATAAAGACTTGGTGACAGCCATCATGCATGGCAGGTTGCCAGAGATTCAGCCAGCATTTTCATCTGAGCAATGCTGGGTAGCAGGCAACTGGCCAGTCATAGTCTCTGGAACGCTTTGAATGGCATTTCCAGTGTGATCAGGACTCCCTGTTCCCTCTCTGGTGACACCTGGTGCCCATGTGACCCTATGGAGCTATCCCTCTACCATCCTTTTTTTGTCTTCTGCTCAGGACTCTGCAGTCAGTCACTACCAACTTCCCTTGCACAATTACACAATTTCCTGGTCATAATTGTTAATATTCTCTATCAAGAATGGCATGGCTTACTATAACTTGTTGGGAAATAAAACCATTGCCCTGGCTCACCCTGAAGGGCCAAATCACCCCAACACAAAGACACTTCTGCGGGCACACATAGGCCTGCCCGTCTCCTCGGGCGTGGCTCTGTCATCGTTCTCAGAACCTTGCCTGCTTGCTTTGGAAGAATTCCCAGCAGGCTCATTGCAATCCTAGCTTTCATCTCAGCTATGAAAAGGGTTTAAACATGCAAACCAAAATGAATGAAGGCCAGGATGACCCTGCTGCTGCTGCTGAAACACCACCCAGTGCACAGTAGGTGCTCAATGAATATGTGTTGAAAACTTGGGCAGTGCTAGAATAATGATTTCCCTTTCAAAAGAGTCCCAGCGAGGCTGCAATGTTTCTTCTCAGGACAGTCATCATACAAAACCAGCTGAAAATGAACACCGAGAGGCAGCCTGGAAAGAGAAGCCTTAGGTACAGCCTAGGCCTATGAGTGGCAGCCCAGCAATAGTGATGGGGAGAGGGGCGGCGGGCATTGAGGTGATTTGTTCAGCCCACATTACAGGTTTCTTTTGGTTCCGAGTGGCACATCCGCTTGCGTCTACTGGTCTGCAGCCTCTGGCATCACTCTCCTGCCTTTAGGAGCCCCATGTGGCTGCCTGAATCACCTCAAGTTCCCCAGCCTCAGCCAGGGAACTTGCTCTCTTGTTTCTAGACTTTTTAAAAGCATTTTCATAGTCGGTCTCATGTCATTCATTTAAACTGACATGTCATTGGGATTTTTATTTTTATTTTATTATTATTATTATTATTATTATTATTATTATTTTTACCTATTAAGACAACTACACAGCTTGCCCAGAAAATAACAGTTTTCTTAAAAAAAAAAAAAAAAAAGTCTTCAAAGACTATGTCTATTTTGCTGATCTGCCAACCCAGGTTAATTGTTTTGTTAGGACAGACAAGTCTAGATTTTCAACACCAGAGGGTGCCAGTGGTTAAATTATGCACACAGCTGCCCTGAGCAATCTCTGTGCCCGTCCTTTCTGTTCCCTAATAGAAAGAAAGAATGGATGGTGGTGGGTTGGTGGGCAGGTGCAGGTAAGTTGGACTGAGTGTCAAGTGTAGCTGCTGCTAAGGGGAGTAGGACAGAGAAATTAGAACAGAGTGCTGTTTGTTGCCTGGGGTACATGCTGGTTCTGGATTTTCAGACATCAGTTAATGGAGTCAGTACCACGGCCAGGTTGTGTGGAGCTTTGTATTTTTTGAGAAAGCTCCCTCCCACCATCCCCCTCATCCCCACTCCTCTGCCTGAGGTCTGCGGGCATCTTCAGCTCCACAGCTCCATGGGACTCTTGAAGCCTGGGTTGGAGGCTGGGAGGCCGTATCTGAGCAGTCCCTTCCTCCAGGCCATGACCAAGATACACAAGGCCAGCAGAGGGGTGTGTGTGTGTGTGTGTGTGTGTGTGTGTGTGTGTGTGTGTGTGAGAGAGAGAGAGAGAGAGAGAGAGAGAGAAAGAGAGAGAGAGACTAAGTTTTAGGTTCACAGCAAAATTAAATGGAAGGCATAGAAACTTCCTTTTATACTCCCAGCCTCCCCCACCATCAACATCCCCCACCAGAGTGGTACATTTGTTACAGTTGATGAGCCAGCATGTCATTATCATTCCATTTTCATAAGGGTTCACTCTTGGTGCTGTACATTGCATGAGTTTGGACAAATGTATTAATAGAATGACGTGGATCCATCATTATAGTATCATACAGGGTAGTTTCACTGCCCTAAAATCCTCTGCTGTCCTTATTCATCCCTGCCTCCCCCTCACCCTAGGCAGCCACTGATCTTCCTACTGTCTTCATAGTTTTACTTTGCCAGGATGTCACATAACTGGAATAATAGGATGTATAAAATATGTTGGTTTCTTTCACTTAGAAGTATGCATTTAAGCTTCTCTCATCTTTTCATGGTTTAATAGCTAATTTATTTTTAGTGCTCAATAGTATTCCTTGTACGAATTTACCACAGTTTATTTATTCATTGACCTACTGAAGGACATTTAGGTTGCTTACAAGTTTTGGCAATTATAAATAAAACTGCTGTAAACATTCCAATGTGGGCAGGTTTTTGTGTGAAAATATTTCTTCTATTCCTTTCTCTCTTTTCGTTCTACTGTCCCCATAACATATATGTTTTGTAGTTGTCCCACAGTTCCTAGTTTTTTTTTTTTTTTTTAAGTCTTTTGTCTTTTTTTCTGTTTGGAAGTTTCTATTGATGTTACTTTTAAGTTCAGAGATTCTTTCCTCTACTAACAGCCTCCTTCATATCTGCTAGTGTTTTTGTCTCTAGCATTTCCTTTTGATTCTTTCTTAGAATTCCAATCTCTCTGCTTAACATTGCCCATCTGTTTTTACATGCTTTATTGATCAGAGCCCTTAGCATATTAATTGTTGTTGTTTTAAATGTATAGTCAGATAATCCCAGCCTCCTTGGTTCTGGTTTTGATGCTTGATCTGTCTCTTCAAACTGTGATTTTGCCTTTTAGTATGCCTCGTGATTTTTTTCTTGATGTGCTGGTTAATAGGAGCTGTAGTGATGGTGAGGTGTTGGGAAGGGAAGGTTCCGTGGTCCTGTGAGTAGATCTGTCTTTCAGTGAGCCTGTGCCTCTGGACTGTGAACTTCATAAGTTCAGATTTCTCTTCCCTCGTAGGTGGGCAGGAAGGATGGCTAGAACAGGCTGGTATTGGGTATTTTTCCTCCCTCGGGTCAGTTAGGATCTGAAAACTATAATAGTTGAGGCTCTGAAGTGCCCTGGAGTATTTCCAATGGTTTCCTTTTCCCTCCTCTGCCAGAGCATAAGGAAATATCTCCTCCTCTCCCCAATATTCACTATGGGAACCTGGTAAAACTCACAGAAGACCAGGTTTGCCTAGAATTTTTGACCCTCAGGCTTGTCCTCGGAGACTCCAGCAATTGGCCAATTTCAGTTATGATTTCCCAACCACAGCACTGGTTCCCACAGAGGTTGCTGCCGAGAGTTTCTGTTCTGATTCACCTTAGTTGCCTGTCGCTCCCATTTTGGAAGCAGTGCTTTGCCCTGTGACCTTACTTATCTGAAAATTCAAGAAGGGTTGTAGATTTTTCAGTTTGTTCAGCTTTTTACTTGTTAGGACAGAATGGCTACTTCCAAATGCCCTATGTGCTGGACTGGAAACCAGAATAGTTTGTTTTCTCCTTTGATGTACTATACCAAAAACTAAGTGATGTAGGTCAAATGACATTCCAGCATGGCCTTTGTTCTGTTGAAATTGAATTTTAGGTTTGAAAGGTGCCTTGGAGGTCAATGTCCTCTTTTTTTTTAAAATATGTATGGGTTTTTTGTTTGTTTGTTTTATAGAGGAAGGGAGAGGGAGAGAGAGAGAAACATCAATGAAAGAGAAATAACAACATCCGTTGGCTGTCTCCTGCAGACCCCCTGCTGGGAATTGAGCTGGAAACCCTGGCATGTACTCTGACCCAGAATTAAGCTAGTGACCTCATAGTGCTCAACTACTGAGCCACACTGGCCAGGCCAAAATCCTCATTTCCAGATGACATCTTTTTTTAAAATATATTTTTATTGATTTCTGAGAGGAATGGGGGAGAGACAGAGACATTAATAATGAGAGAGAATCATTGACCAGCCTTCTTCTGCATACCCCACACTGGGGCTCAAGCCCGCAACCCGAGCATGTGCCCTGACCTGGAATTGAACTGTGACCTCCTGGCTCATAGGTCGATGCTCAACCACTGAGCCACACTGGCTGGGCTCAGATGACATTTTAATAGTCTCTATTTGGGCATTCCTCTGTGGGTAACATCCCCACCTATCAACAGGGTAATAGAACGGACTGGGTTCATGTGACCCTTTGTCTTCACAATCCAAATGAATGTTGCTTCAGATAAACCAATTAAATTCTTCCACAGACAGTGTTCTGTTCCCTGAAAGGAAGTGCAAATGTGACATTTATTAATTGAAAAACAGTGGTTATCTGTGTGTGATGGTTTGGAGGATGATTTTAGTAACGTGTGGTGGAATGGTGGGTGATTTTTATTTCTCTCTTTGTCTTTCTGTGTTTTCCAAAACCTATCAAATTCACATGCAGTATTTGAACAATCAGAAAACACACACACACACACACACAAAAACAAAAACCAAAAAACAAAGCACAGTCTTAGGCCATGAACACTGTGATGTTTCTCTTTCGTGTCTCCTAATAGTCTGCAAGATGAACGTTCACCGACGCTGCGAGACCAATGTGGCTCCCAACTGTGGCGTGGACGCCAGAGGAATCGCCAAAGTCCTGGCAGACCTTGGCGTCACCCCAGACAAAATCACCAACAGTGGCCAGAGGAGAAAAAAGGTAACGGGCCACTCGGGGTGGTGTTTCTGGAGCTCTTTGTGGGCCTGCATCTCTGCTCTGGCTTCCTGGCAGTGGCTTAGAGTGAGGTTACAGGATTGCTGGATTTGAGACACTGTACTCAAAACAGCATGTGCTTGAAAGGGGGAAAAACAGAGGCCAGGCAGGTGACATTCACGTCTCCTCCCGTTCCAGAAGCGGGGGGAGCCCCAAGTCTTATGCTTCTCCGGGGAACCTAGAGGAGGACTTGAGAATTTCTTCTAGAAAAAGCAGGCTGCTGACTCTAGACAAGGAAATAGATGCCTCTGCCTCCAGAACTGGCATGACAGCAATGTCAGTGTTTAAACTTTGTCCCTGTTATCGCCGCGATGAGGATAAAGGGATGAAGAGCTGGAGCCACATTCTTTTCTAGGGAGCAAGCCAAGATCTGATAGCCCCGGCACTCGGCTGCCTGGGGGACATGATGAATGCCCCATGACATGAAACATCTGGGCTTTTCTTTGCAGACCAAAGCCCTGTCTCTGTCCATGTGACATTCTGAATGTCAGTAGGAAGAGATCTGTTTGCTAAAATTGTTTTTTTTGGTAAGTCAGGCCCATGGATGCAAACGCAGCTAAAGGGTACCCATAGCATTTGCTTTGAAGGATCTTTTTATCCTTGGCTGCTAACCTGTGAGATGTCACGATCTTTGAAAAAGTATGTTTATGACAAAATCAGAACTGAGTTAACTGGGCAAGAAATCCTGGCGGCGGCGGGTGGACAGAGTCAGGCATTCTCAAGGCTTTCCTAGAAAAGCACGTCTAGCTCTGGGTGCCTCTATCATCCTGACTCCTAAGTGTTTCTTCTAAATTTTGCCGCAAAATACCTTCTGAAGGGCTCTGTGTTTCCCCTTCTCATTTTAGAAGCTGCCCATGCCTTTTCCCTGGTGCCGCTCAGAAGAGCCTTCTCCGTTGAATGGGAAGGTGTGGATTGTTTTCATCTCCTTAAGCTGCTGCTTCTCTACCTTCCCAATCAACAAAGCTGTTTCTGCGAGAGTCGCAGAAATGAAGTCTATTTTAATGGTTGGCTGTGAGATTCTGGGCTTCTGGTGGCTCTTCTCAGCTCTGTCTACCGAACTGGTTGAAACAGGACTTAAATTACTGACCCAAGGCATTGAAACGGCAAGCAGAATGCCCGCCCCCCAGGAGTGCTAGGGCCCTGCTGAAGAGACAGGATGTACAAAAACCCTTTTGATGACGAGGCTAGACACACACACATTGATAAGCTCTAGAGAGAGACATTTTCAGAAGACGTGGGTTTGTGTTTTTTTTTTTTTTCTTTGCCAGGAGTAAATTGAGACAATATTTATTGCCATGAGGCATTTAAAAGAAAACTCAGTACCTGCCCTCTTCCCCATATTTACCTGGGCATTGTCTGTCTGTTGTGGATTTGGGGAACCTGGTGGTAGGAAACCAACATGGAGAAATTCAGAGAGAAGTAGAGTAGAAGACAAAGGGAGTCCAGTCCTGGTATTTTTTATTGCTGCGATGTCCTGATGCAAAAGCTAGACATAAGCTAAGTGAACTCAGTATAAGCTTAAGTTTGTATAAGAGGATGAGAGACAAGTGCCCTTGGCCAGAAACTAAAAGGGCTTCTTTGCAGGAGAGTGGGTCGGGCTTGCTGGATTTTTTGTTCTCTTCAGATTGCCCCTTGCAAGTAGTCAGTCCATTACCCAGAAGGGAGGTGTGCACCTTCCAGCTTGTAGACCAAGAGGAAGAGGGAACAAAATGCTTATGATATCTTAGTCCAAACCTCAGACTTTAATGGGAACTTAAAAATGGATATGCCATCATTCGAGTTCACTGGGAGTGTTCTTTTCAACTTTTCTAACAAATATCAGTGCATCTGAAAGTATTTGCTGAGCCCTTAGTATGTGTATCATTTTGTATAAGTCACCAGGACGATACCAGTACCGTCCTGCAAAAAACCTATAGTGCACCTGAGCAGAGAGCCCCACATAATATGCACATACATGTAGTATTGGCTAGAGCTGAACAAGACAATGAGTAAATGCCAAACTGGGGGTACGACCGTGTCACATTGCTTTGGATAAGGTAACTTGCATCGCTTGAATAGGTGAGAGAGATTTTATGAAGGGGGTATGCTTGAGTTTTGCTTAAAAAGGTCAGTTGTATTTGGGCAGAATAATAATTGAACCAAATGAAGTCTCCTGTTTTCTTCCCTTCAATTGGCAAAGAAAACCTTGAGACTGTGCTTTCAGACTAACGATTCAAAGGTGTCACTGCACCAGCAACCTCTTTGGTGCTGGGTAGGGGATCTTGAAGCTTTTGATCTCAGGGAAACTCGCCACCCTCGCTTCTCATGCCTCTCTCCCCTCTTCCTCTCCCCCTTCTCTAGCTCCTTGCTGGCGCCGAGTCCCCGCAGCCCACTTCTGGAGGCTCACCCTCTGAGGAAGACCGATCCAAGTCAGCACCCACCTCCCCTTGTGACCAGGGTGAGACCCTCGGATTTGCTTCTTTACCTCTGAGCTTGGTCATCAGAAGTTCAGAGGAGCTGAGGCCTCCCTACCCAGGAATAGCCCTGTGTTCCCCGAAACAACCAGTGGTCCTATTGACTCAGTAGCTATTTCTTCACTCTACAGGCTGTCTTGAGGTCAAGACACTAAAGGCCTTTCTACCTTAAATCCCTTCCAGGCCTGAGTAAGAGAGGAGGAGCACGTGATTCTGAGGTTCTTTCTTTTCCCTGGTTCCAGAGTGCAGAGAGGGAGGGCGTATAGCCCCTTCTCTTACCACTGGGCCCCACTGTCTGCCTCCAGGCCTGTCAGCATCACTCAGTTGAGTTTGACTTAATTCCTCTTGACTCTAACCATCACACCAATACCTAAGATCAGGGCAGTAGTCGGGATGGGTGGGGAGGACGTCTCCTATCTTGGCCAGGGTGGATGGGTGGGGATAGGATGAAGCTGGGGAGGAGATTGCAAGAAGTGGGCAGGAAGCCAGCTCTGGGCCTCACTCCTCTCTGAAGCTCAGCTCAGGCTGCCTCTTTTCTCCCCATAGGGATAAGTGTAAAGTAATCAGAGGTTACTTGTTTTGTTTTTTTAGTTTTTAATGTATTTTTATTTATTTCATAGAGGAAGCAAGAGGGAGAGAGAGATAGAAACATCAGTGATGAGAGAGAATCATTGATCGACTGCCTCTTGCATGCCCCAACTGGAGATCAAGCTGGCAACCTAGGCATATGCCCTTGACTGGAAATCAAAACGTGATTTCCTGATTCATAGGTTGATGCTCAACCATTGAGCCACATTGGCCAGGAAGAGGTTTCTGATTCTGCAGGCAGAATGGTGAGGCTGAGGAGGGACATAGATACTTCAAAACTTCCCCTCTGGTGAACAGAACCAGATGTCACTGGGGAGGGAAGTATACATCTGCCGAGCATACATAACATTGTCTTGTGTTAGAGTGCCTGGGTTTCTTGAAGTCCCTTTTGGAGTCATTATCCCAATTCTGTGTTCACCTCAACTCCATGCTGGTGCTCCTTTACTGTCCCCGTGTTACAGGGTGGGAAATGGATGGTCAGAGACTTGCAAAGATTTGGGTAAAGGTTAGTGGACCCACACCAGTGGTAGAGGGCGAGACCATGCCCCTCCTGGCTTAGGGACCCCACTCTCCGAATCTGTGCCATCAAACCTGCCTCCCAGGTCATCTTATCCTGCAGATGTGACCCAGCTCTTCTTACCCAGGAGCAAATAAAACAGCTGCAGGGCAGTGTTCCAGGCCCGCGGCCACAAAATGATTGGTCTGAGTCTCCCTTTGTGCTGCTCTGCTTAACTTGCTGCACATTTAGAGTGTGCATCAGTCCAAAAGAGGCTGATTTGTAAGGCATCTGATGATGCTCGGTGAGCTCCAGATGAGCAGGTATTATTCTGGACCAGAGTGGGAGTTTTCCTGTTTCCCTTTGAGAACTTCAAGGAGATGGGGTCCTATGGTGAAAAGACCCTAAGAGGGTGGTGACCCATTTTCTATGTGGTTTCTGCCCATTGTGCTGCCCAGTCTTGGCAGCATGCTGACCAGCCTCTCAGAGCCTCTCTCTGTCCCCAGTTAATGCAGGTGCCAGTATTACCCAGCAGAGACATGTACACAGATGAATGTGAAAACCCTTTTAGCAAGACATGGCATTATTATGAAACGGAAATAAGACATGGTTTCTCGTTGCTCCATTGTAAGAACATAGACATTTTCTTTAAGCTTCAGTGTCCTTAAACACCCAAGTCCTATCTCCCAAAATCCATTTAATAACTTGCCTTGGAAACTGAGATGTTTTGCTCTATGCTGAGACTAAAAGTTATATTTCATGAAGAGTATGTGATAGGAAACTGCCGATTGGGTGAGGAGATATCAGAAGCTCTCCCCATCCCTCCCCTTCTCAGGGGAGACAAAGACCAGATCTACGAAAGACCCCAGGCGCCTTGAGTGAGCTGCCGTGGGCCTTAGTCTTCTGAAAGAAGCTAAAGATTTCTTTAGGTTAAGCTCCTGGCCTCTCACGCCTGATTCTGATTCCCACGCATTAGGGTCTGTGTTCCTCTTGTGTAATCCCAGTGTTGTCCATGAGTGTCTTAACATTGGATTATGCTCAAGATGCCCATATCTACAAGAGGAATGTGTGTCTGGGTGAATTAATACCTAACAATAAAGCTTCCTCAAAGAGAAAAGGCTTAAGGCTTACCCAGGGTTATCACCTCCAGGGCGTTTGCATCACAGCCTTGGTCCCTCCAAGCCTCACCATTGTGAAATTATACTGGGAATCCTGCCCCATCTGAGATACATTTGTAGTCTTTCCCTTTGGGGAAGCAGTTCTTTGGTTAATGATAAGCTCCTTGCTTATTTTGTTAAATAACCTTGCATGAGATGGATATTTAGAGTAAACCCAGCAACAAAGCCACATGAAGTCCTTTAGAAGATGAAATAATTTTATCACCAAGATTACTGTGATGGCAGTTCTCAGCAAGTCGTTACTCTATTCTTCAAAGGAAACTCAAAGGTTATCCATGCCTTTGGAACTCTGCAAGGTTCCAAGAAGGCTGGGATTCTTGCATTAAGAACAATTGGACAGGCCACTAGCCAAAGGGGCTTTCAGAGTAGTGGCTGTGGCCCAATCTACGCTGAAGGGGTTGGTTGCTGGGCTGTGTCCTTCTCTTTGCATGCCTAGGCCCTGCTGTGTGTTAAGTGCCCATAAAAATGTGTAAATGAAGGAACGCCATACTGGATCTGTTGCTATGAAAAGCCGAGAAGAGGGTGAAATTCTGAGATCTGAGGGCTCGTGAGCTGTGCACTAGTTGCATTATCTTGTCTCCCTTGGCTCTAGAATTAAAAGAACTTGAAAACAACATCCGGAAGGCCTTGTCATTTGACAACCGTGGGGAGGAGCACAGGGCATCGGGGTCCACCGACGGCCAGGCGAGCCCCGGAGAGAACGGCGAAGTCCGGCAAGGCCAGGCCAAGCGCTTGGGCCTGGACGAGTTCAACTTCATCAAAGTGCTGGGCAAAGGCAGCTTTGGCAAGGTTTGTGGCATCTGCCCCCTCATTTGTTTGATATAAGATGAACCTTTCACCCTGTCTTATTCAATTTTCCTTCCTTACTGTGTAGAAGTGGCCTAAGGCAAAGCAGATAGGAAAGGTGGGGAGGGCGGGGGGAGACATATTAGTGTGGACTCTTTACTTCTTTGGGATTCCGTGTAGCCCACTTGTCAAATGGGGATGGGAATCAAGTGACCTACTAGGTGAGAAAGCACTTTGTAAAGTTCAAATTGCTTTTCGTGTGCTTGGCATTCCATTATCAATAATGGTAACAATACTATTCCCTCCTTCAGACAGTCATCTGAAATCCTGGTTTTAATTCATTATATAGAGTTTGCACATGAACTCCAGCATGTGTGCCCTCTGTGAACTTAAGGCTCAAAACAGGTCTTAGCACATGTCACTTGGAAGTTAACTGTTACATAACTGACTTTTCTGGCACTCACTAAAGGCTTTGTTTAACCTCTGTTTGTGCAAGAAAATGGGAATAATCACCTCCTCTCTTGGATCAGGGTCCTCTTCCTTTGGTGCCATCCTCCCTATCCTGCTCCCCACTGCAACAGACACAGTGGTGTGGAGTGTGGGTGCAGAGGGGGCTCAAATATAGCATTCATGGTGATTAGCCATCATTCTGAAGGTGGGGTGCAAGAAAAAATAATTCCTGATCATTTTAGGAAAGAAAAAAAAAAGGACAGCCTGGCTGGTGTGGCTCAGCAACTGAGCATTGACTTATGAACCAGGAGGTCACTGTTAGATGTTCAGTCAGGGCACATGCCTGGGTTGCGGATTCAGTCCTCAGTAGGTGATGTGTATGAGGCAGCCCATCAGTTATTTTCTCCTATCATTGATGTTTCTATCTCTCCCTCCCTTTCCCTTCCTCTCTGAAATCAATAAAAATAATTTTTTAAAGAAAAGAGATGGACAGGCAGAGAGCCTAAGAAGCTGCTTAACATTTCAGCTATGATCTCTGCTATTCGGCACTTCGGCTGTTCGCAAAGCCATGCCTGGGAGTGGATGAGCGACGGAGGACCTTCTGGAGTACAGAGGCCCTGCCCTAGAGCCGAGGCACCTGCCTCTGGGACCTCCTGGGAATCACATGTCCTCACTAGTCGAGTCAGGCTATGGGTCAGGAGGCTTGCTGGGGGACAGAGCCACTCCACTCCTAGGAAAATGGCTCTGTGAGCCCCCAGGGTACAGAGCTTGGTTCCTGGCCCATCTCACCTGCCCCATCTCAGTCTGAGATCAATGCTGCAGGAGTTAACTGGATCTACTTAAATGGCAAAGGCTGAAGTAATCACATTCTTTAGAGACGGGCTAAATAAGAAGCAGACCCCAGTCCTCTGGCCAGCATAACTGGAGGATGTGAGTAGCTTTCATTGTGAGCAAGATTCATGGGGAATAAGCAGCCTCAAAGGCTACGGGGTTCCATATGGCGCTTGGGCAGGATGGGAACTCTGATGACTCTGACACATCTAGATTATTTCTTAGGAGAAATCACAGTCACAGTGAGTCAGTATAAAAGAGTTTGCATTTTATGTGGGCAACCAAGAGTCTTCACATTAGCATCCTGGATTCCCTCATTAAGCTTCTGAATTACTGCTCTTCAGTTCTAACATTCACCCTGGCACTGTACTGAGGAGTTAGTTATTGAATGGGAGAAAAGCTTGTCACATTTGTAGGGAAATGAGTGCAAAAATATCAAATGATAAAACAAATTTAAGAAACAGAACTGTTCATTTGTTCTCTGGAGAAGGACTCACAACTCCCAGCTTTAAAGCTACCGAAGAAACCACAAAAGTAAACAAGGGCAGGTTCAGCTACAAAAAAGATAAATAATCCTGTTTCATGGAAAAAAAGAACAGAAAATTATAAGACACATTTAGAAAAAACCTTTACAGAAAGTAAAGTGATAGTATGTTTATGGACCAAGTGCATACACATACGTAAGAGGAAACTGACAAATAGTTCACACAAAAGAAATTTCCTTAGAAAACAAATATTTAAAAAGTTTACAGCATCGAGGTAACATTTCACACCCATTACATGAATAACATAAATTTTTAAGAGAAGCACCCAATGTTGGCAAATCGCTGGGAAACTAAAACACGTCTCCTTTGCTAGGGGCACATTATATTATATATCTTTTTTAAAAATCAGCTAGGAATGTGCGAATATTTAACCCCATAATCCACTTCTACCACTTTCTATCTTGAGGACATGATCCAAAAGAAAGAAAAAAATTATATGTACAAAAATATTCTTTGCAAATTTTTTTAATATACTTTATTGATTTTCTTACAGAGAGGAAGGGAGCGAGATAGAGAGCTAGAAACATCGATAAGAGAGAAACATCGACCAGCTGCCTCCTGCACACCCCCCCCACTGGGGATGTGCCCGCAACCAATGTACATGCCCTTGACCAGAATCTAACCTGGGATCTTTCAGTCCGCAGACTGATGCTCTACCGCTGAGCCAAACCGGTTTTAGCTACAATTTTTATATAGTACTTAATAATCACTTGTAACTCAAGTGTCTAACTAGGAGGTAAAAGTTTAAATAACTTGTAATATATTTACTTGAATTATCAGACACCATGATAAAGATGAAGATTGTATAGAAAAACTCTTATGAAATACTGTCTAGTAAAAAAAAATGCTATTCTATATTTACCATACTCTTAAGTGCAAATACGACAAATGTTTGTAAACATATGGATAATTATTTAACAGATATGCATTGGACTTTTCTTTGCCCAGCCAATGTGTTAGAGATTAAAAATGAGTAAGTGGTAGTAGCTGTATTGGGATGTTTTTCTAGACATTTTTTAAGGCTTTGATGCTACTTAAAATGATAGAAAGAAAGGATTCCATTTTTAAGCCCTTGGCACTGACTCCTGTTTCTTCTCTCCCTACGTGTGTATACTGACAGGGTGGTTTTGATTGATTGCAGGTCATGCTGGCGGAGCTCAAAGGCAAAGATGAGGTATATGCTGTGAAAGTCTTAAAGAAGGACGTCATCCTTCAGGACGACGATGTGGACTGCACCATGACCGAGAAGAGGATTTTGGCGCTAGCGCGGAAACACCCATACCTAACCCAACTCTACTGCTGCTTCCAAACCAAGGTATGCTTAGGCCGAAGCTGGTGGATCGCCATCCTGGGGCAGTGCTGGAGGGCACATGGTATCTTAACTGTCCGATAAAAAAATCAATGTTAGACCCTCTACATTCTTTCTCAGAAACCTTGTAAAGTGGAATAGATTTTACCCTTGAGAAGATTAGGGTGTGTTTGAAAAGCATCCTCTTTTTTTGAAAGGCATGGAATTTTCCACTCAAGGTTATGCTTGTGAGGAGATGAGTGAGAGCCACAGAACTCTTTGCAGATGTATCTGGACAAAGCCGGGTGACTAAGCCCAGTCAACAGGTGTGGTTCGTTCTGGCTCTGCTCTAACTTATCATGGCGCAAATCGCTAAAGCTCTATGTTGTTTTCAGGGCAAATGAAAAAGAATAAAGGCCATCCTCACCGCTCCTAGCTTGCATAATGTCATAGGAGGTAAAGGAGGTAAACAAGTGCTTAAAATGCCACAGGGTAATGCAAGTAAGTGGCATTTTAAATTTACCGTGTAGGAGCCTGGTTACCAGAAGGTGGCAGTAAAGAAATAGAGATAATCTGTAACCACATCTGGGAGTCTGACCTCTGATTGAGTTGTTTTCTCATTCTGAGTAAGGAAGAGAAAGACCAACATTCTTTATGGATTCATAGCTCTGGGCTTCTTGCAAAGGTGAAGGCAACCTCACCTGAAACTCTTATCTGTGCCCACCTGGCGCCCAGACCATGAAGATGCCATCATGGGGAGACAATTCCCTGCTCTCGGCACACTCTCACCCCCATGCCATTGTGAATGCCAGTTTTCCCGCTTAGAATTCAACAGTCACTCATTGGGCATTTGCCAGATTTTTAGTTAATTATATATGGAATCATCCCCTGGTGCCAGGTGTTGGAGATACATTGGTGAGCATGGCAGAGGCCCCTGGCTTCAGGGAACTTATGTCTCTTTGGCACACTGTTTCCCAAAGAGTGTTTCTCAGAACCCTCCTCACTTGGGAAACTCTAAGAATGAAGGACTCTGTGGGACAATACTTTGAAATGCTGCAATCTTGATTTCTCTTAGAGTATCTCAATATACACTTGTTTAAGTAAGTCCCCGGGGAGACCAGCGATGACAAAAAGCTACTTTTATGTAATCTACTATTTCGTAATTATTTGATCCCTGCCATTCCAGACTGAGAACAATATCTAATGGAATTTTTCTAATCCCTCTGATCCCTCAGAAGAAAGAAGAATCCTCAAACATGTGGAAATCCCTTTTCTGAACAAGCACAGGGCTTATATTAGCTGTCCTTGTTTTTTTTTTTTGTTTTTGTTTTTTTTTTAATATATTTTACTGATTTTCTACAGAGAAGAAGGGAGAGAGATAGAGAATTAAAAATATTCATGAGAGAGAAAATCAATTAGCTGCCTCCTGCACACCCCTTACAGGGGATGTGCCCGCAACTAAGGTATGTGTCCTTGACCGGAATCGAACCCGGGACCCTTCAGTCTGCAGGCTGATGCTCTATCCATTGAGCCAAACTGGTTTCTACTGTCCTTGTTTTTTATGTGTGTTATGAAGTGCCAAAGGTCTGTGGGTCTGTGCATTTGTGTGTATATGTATGTGCACCAAGGCCCACCATGATGCTAGAGGATCAAAGTCAACTTTCTTCTTTTCTCTACTTGAGCATAATTCTAGGTTAGTGAGGAATGAGTCCAGTATTTCTTTATCTCCCCTGGCGCCTGTCCGATGGCCTCACACCTCGTAGGTGTGCACTAATATCTGGGAGGGGTCAGTCTAGCTGTGAGTCCCCTGTACCTGGTGGGGTGCGGGGAGTCCCTGCGGAGGAGCAGCTGCCCTGCACCCCTCGGTGAATGCGTGGGGGCATGGGTGTGGGTGTCTTCAATGCCAGTGGTATTCTCCGGGTCCACCTCAGAACATCGAGGCTGGCTTCCTCATCGTGAGGTAGCTTTGCGAGCACAAAAAGGGGGTGAATGACACCATGGGTTTCCTTTATGGGAAAACAATAACCAAATTGATGTGGAGATTGGGGTCTGGGTGGCTGTGGGTGAGGCTGGGGAGAGGAGAGACTTGTCTCTGTGGTTCAGAGTTGTACTAACTCTTTCTCAGGCCACTATCCTGCAGCCACAGTTACGGGAGCAACTTTGTCCGGGGCCACTACTAGTCAGTAGAACACAACACACCTCATCTACAGATGTCTGTGAATCTGATTTTCCTAAAGTCATTTTTAACTTCACCAAAGGACCTTCACTTACTAATGGAGGGAATGCTATGAAGAGTCATTTTATAAACCTCCCGCTGAACTTTTAGAAAATGTGACCAGTAGTCATGGTTTTAATGAATAGCTGTTATGCTCCTGACTCTGAGTTCGGTGCTAGATGTGGGGTTTTCAGCAAAAAGGAAGATGATTCTCAAGTAGATGGGCTTATTAAATAAGGAACGGGAGGTGTCTAATTTCCATAAGCAAGCCGAGCAACAAACAGCATTGCACAGTTCCATTCTGGGTGGGGTGTTCAAACCAGGAGGACTGGGAGGAGAGGGTGCTGGTTAGTGTCTAGAGAGGGGAAGGAGCTCATGCCAGGCTTTGCAGAGTGGGGAGAATTGGGGTGGGAATGAGAGCTGGGTTAAGTGGTCATCGTTGGGTCCTGCTTTATTTTCACTTTTTCTGAAAGGAAATGACCATTCCTCTGAGCCTCCCTGTATTGGCTTCAACCAGGACTTTGTACGTGATTAAGGAGCACAAGACCTGACTGCAATCCTAGTAAGATGTCTTGCCTTCCTGTTTCATTTAGATACACAGAACATAGATAGTGTTAGGTCAGATTTAATTATTTTAAGGTGAGCCTTTATTTTTCAGTTTGTAGGACCAAAACAGCCTCTATGGAAACATTCCAGAAAGATCGCACACGGCTTCTGGTTATTACATAGGTTGCTGGCGGCACTGGCAATGTGTGAGATGCTGGTACCAGGTCTGGTAGGATGACTGATGGCAATGATTGTGCAAACCCATTGGCATCATTCATGAACTCAGGTAAGGTTAGTTCTGGTCATTGAATGACCAAGTTACGGTTAAAGAGGGATTTGGCCTTTTCTGTATACCAAGCCCACATGCCCTTGACTCATTGCACACTGATCATCCTCCATGGGATCTGGATGGGAAAAGGCCAATGGAATGGTAGCTCTCCAGGGCGAGTGAGAAAAGGCAGGCGAACTAGTAAATTATGAGAACAGCATTAATTTTAATCAAATTTAAACTGGTGTTTGACTTGAGTTCCCTCTGTGCTGTGTGCTCTTTGGGGATGCTAGAATAAATGGAAACAGCTAGGGAGTGCTGCAAAATTGTACTTAATTAACTGTCAAATATACTGGATGAAAAGAAGCTAAGGGACTTCTGACTCCAGCCAAGATGGAGCAGCCTCATTTCTCTCAGGTTCTCTTTCTTACAATTAAAAAACCCTGGGCATAATTCTTATTTGATAAAGGCATATGCTCATCAAGACAGATATAGCCATAAAGAATTACAGAAATTGTACTACCTTTTGATGTGCATTGAAACTAAAATTCTCATGTTTAACATTGCCAGATGATTTAATGGTGTTAAATTAGTTGCATGCTTAATATTTTCATACATACACATAATAATTGGTTTTTGGTTAGAAAAAAAAGGTAGGGCCTGTAATTATTTCAATGAATGTACATGTATTTATTGAGCATGTGCTACATGTCAGACACTGTTAGATTCTGGGGCTACAACACTCAAAAGCTATTGACTCTAAACTCGTGGAGGTCACCATCTAGTGGGAGAAAGACACACAGAGTGATGGTCTATAGCACGGTAGCTCTTCTGATGGAGCCAGTTAGGTGATTCCTTTGAAGCTCTGCAGAAGGTATTATGGAAGGCTTCCTGGAAGAGGTAGAATCTAACCTGGACCGTGAAGCATGGGTAGCATTTGGAAGAGGATAAAGGCAAATAGATGGCTGATAAGACCTAGGATTTATCCCCAAATCTCATTTTCATTATTATTTTTCCAAAGCTAGAACCCTCAAGCATTCTGTGTCCTGCTTCCTCCCAAGAAATGACAATGGCTAAACAACAAGAAAGGAGAGGAGCCGAGACCGGTTTGGCTCAATGGACAGAGCGTCGGCTTGGGGACTGAAGGGACCCGGATTCGATTCTGGTCAAGGGCATGTACCTTGGTTGCGGGTATATCCCCAGTAGGGGGTGTGCAAGAGGCAGCTGATCGATGACTCTCTCTCATCGATGTTTCTAGCTCTCTATCTCTCTCCCTTCCTCTCTGTACAAAATCAATAAAATAATTTAAAAAAAAAAAAAAGAAAAGAAAAAAGAAAAGAAAGGAGAGGAGACAGAGGAGGGTATTTGCAAAATAGGGAAATTCCTGCATCTGCGAGGTCAGATATTGGTTGGTAGAGAGGAGAGGGTAATATTGTGAGCCTGCTTCCTTGGGCAGGGCACTTAGCGAGGCTCTGAAAGTTATGGTCTTGGTGAATCAGGCCATAGGGGGAGGAGCAACTTCAGGAATTGCTCTTTCTGGGCTCCCTTTTTCCTAGGGATAGGAAAGTCTCTGAGTGGTAGGTTTAATTTGTTTTTGTTTTTATAGTTACAGGAAATAAAATTCTCAGGCATTTTTAGATTCTGTGTATGATCCCCATTGTGAATCATCATCTTCTAACTGGATCCCACAAACTCTGACTTGGATAAGTTCATCCATGACTTTTCTTCTTTCTCTCTCCCTAATCAACCCTATCCCCCACTCTGGCATTTCCTGCCAGGCCTGGGAAGCCAGCTCAGGGAGGGCTTTGCCTATGTGAGCCACTGCTCAGGAAACTGAGGGTGAGCGCCTGGAGAATCTCCCTGGGGCAGCCTCTTACTGCCCTGGGGGAAATGCAGGATGGAAAAATCCTTAAAAAACAGCTGGAGACATTTTTAAAATGAGTTTTAGTTATCAGTATGAGCTTAGAATTCAATAGTTACTTATTTGGTCATTTATCA